AGCACGGGTATGGTTAAGATATCTTGAAAAACAAAAAAGTTTTCCATACAACAACTTAATTTTCGACCGATCGTTCCTATGGCAGCTATATGATATAGTAGTCCGATGTCAATAAGATTTTGCATAAATGGAAGGAGCATAGTAAAACTAATAAATGCCGAGTTTGGTCATATCTTCATATCTTCGCATCTTCATATATTTTAAAACAAAAATATTTTCCTTACAACAACTTAATTTTCGACCGATCGTTCCTATGGCAGCTATATGATATAGTAGTCCGATGTTGACAGGATTTTGCTTATATATGACGAGAGTAGTAAAACTAATAAATGCCGAGTTTGGTCAAGATATCTTGAAAAACAAAACAATTTTCCATACAACAACTTAATTTTTAACCGATCGTTCCTATGGCAGCTATATCACAGAGTGGTCCGATGTTGAAAGGAATTTGCATATATATGAGGAGCAAAACTAATAAATGCCTAGTTTGATCAAGATGTCTTGATAAACAAAAATACAAGAACCTACTTTTCGACCGATCGTTCCTATGGCAGCTATATGATATAGTGGTCCGGTCCATCTGGTTCCGACGTATGTACTGCGTGCAACAGAAAGAGGCACTTCTGCAATGTTTCATAAAGATAGCTTTAAAAATGAGAGTCTAGTTCGCATAGAAACAGACAGACGGACAGCCGGACAGACGAACATGGCTATATCGACTTGGCTGTTGATACTGATCATGAATATATATACCATATGGGGTCGGAGATGCCTCCTTCTATGCGTTACACATTTCACGACAAAATTATAATACCCTCTGCAATGGTATAAAAACAAAGCTAAAAGGTGTTGCAAGAAATTTAATCGCAAATGAAACTACAATACTGAAGTCAATCACGATTAAAAACAAGTGTCAACGGTAAAACTATTGAAGTATTGTCAGCAAAGCTAATGAACTTACAACAACGAAATAAAACTGCCAACCCATATACATCAGAGGTTGAGCAGGCCCTAGAAAGTGCGTATATAGCAGATGGCCTTACTCGGGAGTTAGCCATAAGTTATTCAACCCAGCAAGCAGTCAAAGCGACAACTAAAAATTGAGCCATTGATAAGGTAAAACTTATCATGCAAGCTGGAACTTTCCATACCATGAATGAGGTGGTGTCAAAATTAGGCAGTCCAACAGTATCTTGTTCTGCCAGAAATACTCTCAGCGCGGCTTAACCGCGGTCGAGGTAATTACAGAGGGAGGGTAAATGGCCAAATGATAACAACTCATACGGCCGTGGCTACTACCGCGTTGGTAATAACAATCACGGTGGTAATAATAATAATAGCAGAGGCCGTGGAGTATCTAGAGGAAATAATCTTAATAACAATAACAACAGAAACAATGTTAGAGTAGCCCAAAATAATTCGGGAAACCAACAATCCCCTTTAGATGCACAGAATTAAAAAAAGTTCATTGGATAAACTTCAATCTCAATATTTTTGTTTCATTATATAATGTAGATTCAGGAAAGAAATTGATATTTTGAATAAATACTGGTGCAGATTTCTCAATTCTAAAAGAAGATTCCGATGACTTTAATGAAATCCAATTAAATAACACTATATACATTCAAGGTATAGGTCAAGGAATCATAAAATCCAAAGGCCTCGCTCCAATAGAGCTACAAGCAGACAAATATATAATTCCTCACAATTTTCATATAGTTGATGCAAGTTTCGCTATACCGTGTGACGGAATAATAGGCATAGATTTCATTAAAGGTCTTCATTGCAAAATACACCTAGACCCGTCCGAAAATTGGTTTATAATTAGACCAAACAATATAAATGTACAAATTTATGTTCCAATAACATACAGTTCTGGTAACAATTCAATACTTCTTACAGCAAGATCAGAAGTTGTCCGAAAAATTAAACTAACTTCAAGTGCAGATAGTATATCAATCCCAAATCAGGAAATTCAACCTGGAATATACGTTGCAAATACAGTGGCAACACAACAAAATACATTTGTCCGATTATTAAATACGACCAATAAAGACTAATTAATCAATATAAATAATCTAAACTTTGATCCACTTTCGAACTACGATGTAGTTCAAACTACTCCAGAAAACGGAAAAAAATCAGTAATAGCTCAATTAGTAAAAACTTTCCAAAACAATTTAAACCACAATTAATAGAACTATGCACCAAATATAGTGATGTATTCGGACTTGAAGCCGAATCTATAACAACAAATAATTTTTATAAACAAAAATTGAGGTTGAAGGATACTGAACCGATTTATATAAAAAATTATCGAAGCCCGCATAGCCAGGTAGAAGAAATTCAAAAACAAGTAAGAAAATTAATCTCCGACAAAATTGTCGAACCATCAGTGTCAGAATACAATAGCCCACTTTTACTAGTTCCAAAGAAAGCACTTCCAGGCTCAGAAGATAAGAAATGGCGATTAGTAAGTGACTATCGTCAGATTAATAAAAAACTGTTTTCTGATAAATTTCCAGTACCTAGAATTGATGATATTTTAGATCAACTAATGTCAGGTTTTCACCAAATTTAACTTGAAGAAAGTTCAAGAAATATAACGTCATTTTCAACGAGCAATGGCTTATATAGCTTTACGCGATTACTTTTCGGTTTAAAAATAGCGCCAAATTCATTTCAGAGAATGATGACTATTGCATTCTCTGGACTTGAACCTTCTCAAGCATTCCTTTACATGGATGATCTAATAGTTATAGGTTGTTCCGAAAAACATATGCTTAAAATCTCAGCTGATGTTTTTGAGAAATGTAGGAAATACAACCTGACGTTACTTCCTGAAGAATGTTCATTTTTTATGGGACACTAATGCACTGATAAAGGAATCTTGCCAGACGACAAAAAATACGACGTCATGAAAAAGTACCCAGTCCCACATGATGCGGACAGCGCTAGAAGATTCGTTGCATTTTGCAATTATTATAGACGTTTCATAAGAAATGTTGCCGACTATTCTCGTCACATAACAAGATTATGTAAAAACAAGTAACAGGTTTGGGAGCTCCCGACTAGGGGATACCCTGAACACTCTTCTTCGAACACCAAATGCAGCTCGCGCTACGCGCTCGTTTGATTTAGTAGTCATAAAGAAAAATGAAAATAAAAATAAAAAAATGTTCCCTTGGTTCGAACTCGCAACTAACCGCACCACTTACCGCTGCCTCTACTCAAGGGCCACACCAATAATTGAGCTTTAATGCGAAAAAAAATCAATTAAAATAGCAGCACAGAAAACGATACAATCGCAATTGCAATGCTGTTGATAGAATTCAAAGCAAACACTCATGAATGTGTGTATGTGTATATGTATGTGTATGTGTAATTTTCGCAGCAGCTATGCTGCTAACACGTGCGTACATAACTTTTGTGTTTCTTAACTGATCTTAATGAAATTTTCGACAGTACATCTTATTGTAGAATAGAATATAGAATATTTGTGTATTCTCAAAAAGTCAATTGCATATAAATTGTGGCTTAAATTGATAGGCAATACAAGTTGGATAATTAACTTGATTTATAGCTTTGTGGTGGTAGCGGAGAGGTGGCAATAGGTATAAAATGAAAGATACTTGATATATATATACTATTCTAGGAGCTATATGTCAAGTTTGGTGACTCTAGCTCATATTATTTGCCGAAATTGCTCAAAAAACCGGATTTCGATATCGATTTTTATCGATTACTCGATATATTACTGAGTACATACGAAAGTGTCAAAAATGTCAAAAATCAAAAGTGACAACACACACAAAAACTCCTTTAACAATTACAGAAATTTCAATCAATGCTTTTAATAGAGTAATAAAAGACACGATCGGTCCACTCCCAAAATCAGAGCAAGACAATGAATATGCAGTTACACTGATATGAGACTTAACAAAATATCTTGATGCCATACCTATTGCAAACAAAAGCGCAAACACTGTCGCTAAAGCTATATTTGAATCTTTTTTTCTGAAGTACGGTCCAATGAAGACGTTCATTACAGACATGGGAACAGAATACAAAAATTCAATAATTAGTGATTTGTGCAAATGTTTAAAGATTAAAGATAATATCCAACGCACACCACCACCAGACAGTTGGAACAGTCAAAAGAATTCATAGAACTTTTAATGAATACATACGATCATACATATCAGTTGATAAAACTGATTGGGACGTATGGCTTCAATATTTCGTTTACTGTTTCAAAACGACCCCCTCTATGGCAATACTTATTGTCCATATGAGCTAGTAATTGGTAAGACAAATAAGTTACCAAAACAATTCAATAGTATAGATAGCAATTTTTAATATAGATGATTACGCAAAGGAAAGTAAAAAAATATATAATATATGTAAAAGAGCTAAAATAATGATCGAAGAACATAAAAAAAAATAAGGAAATATATGATCAGAAAGTAAGAAACATAGATATATCAATAGGATATAAAGTTTTATTAAAAATCGAATCGGGACATAAATTAGATTTTAAATATACAGGTCCGTATACTGTGTCGGAAATAGGAGAAAGAGATAACATTATAATCTCAAACAATAAAAATAAGAAACAAACAGTTCACAAGGATAGAATAAACATTTTAATTAATTAATCATTTTAGTATAGCCATATACTAAAACAAATACATTTTAAAATACAAAATTATATATATATATATATATATATACAGCGGCCTGATCAGTCAAAAGAAAAAAAAAATTAAATTGCATATTTTTAAGCATTTAAAAAAATGTTTTTCAAGAAAGAACACATTATTATAATGCATTTTTTTAAGCATTTAACTTTTTATATTTTTAATCATTTCTTAAATTCATATAATTTTAACCAATTTTTATTACATTTTACAATTTTTATATGAAACAAAAAAAAAAAAGAAAAACAAACAAACAATTTTATTATAATTAAATTCATTAAATATCTACACATTTATAATGTTGCAAGTGCAAGTATAAACAAATATGAAAGAAGAACATACTCAAGCGCATAGCATAAATATAATCGTATATATGTATGCACATACACATGCGCATACATACCCAGCGGACCAAACTGTCGCAAATGATATCACAATGTGTATGTGTAAATCCATCTATAGACAATAACAAAATAATATTAATTTGCACATATACATGTTATAAAAGTAATGCTTACTCTGTATTGCCAATGTAATTCGAAGGCCTCTAAAACACATTTTTTAATTCCGTCCCACGCCGGGATCATTGTCTTGCAACATCATCCGTTATTATCTGGCGCAAGGAGCACTTTCAGGGCAATAGGAAATAGTTTAGTTATTAATAAACACTTGTTAATTACTTACCTCTCTACAGAAATGCAATTTTCACTGTTCACTTTACCACGTCTCTGCTCGCTTCGTCGGAGAATAGAAAAGAGAACAAAAGAATTTTTCAACCCCCAAAAACACATATTTTTCGGGCTGAGTAGGAAACAACATTTTAGCTCTCTCTCTCTTGACGATGTTCTCCGAGCACGATTAATATTTGAAACAAAAACAACACACTATTTTCTCTAACCGCATTTTTATCGCAAACATCTCACTGCAACGCTCGGGTGCGAGTGTTTTGCGATAAAAATGTATCCCACTCGTTTTCTGCTTACATACGAACTCATTTGTGAGCAGACTCTCGCTAAAGGCTCGCGTGTTGGTCCGCTGGGTACATACAGAGTTGCGCACATAACTAACTTGATGCCACTTGAGCAGGCCAAGACAGCGTGAGACCGTTGACCAATGGACAACCGCTGATCTTGCACTTTAGCCGCTCCGAAAGTGAGCGCCCATATGTATGAGTACACCCGGTTAACATGAATTAACCATAAGCTAAGCACATGTCTTTAACTTGGAATAAAGTCAATCAGAATATAAATACCAAACAGCACTGACATGCTCGAGTTTTTAATTAAATATAAAATGTCAATACTTTGCATATATTGCAACACTTATTACAGCTTCTTGCAGAAGGTAGTGCTGGCTGCGTTTCTGCAGCTCCCCACGGTGAAGGTATGCGTACCGCAGTCAGCGACCATGTTACTATCTTCAAAATCTAAAACTATTTTATTACTTTGTATGGGATAAACAATGATTTTTTAACAAACTAGTTGAGGGATTGGGAACTTAATTAAGAAGTTCAAAATGTCATTATTTTGAAAACGCTTAATACTGATACTTCTAAAATGCTAGCTTCGCTAACGTTTGCGAGATGTTTACTCATGACTTCTCGGATGTCGACGTTGTTCAGGATAATTGGTCTATTTTAGCTAACGTTATTATTATCCTGTTTTCTGGCAGTATAGTCTCGTATAGGTGTTCGGTATCTGCTTCGTCCGTCTTGTGGATAGAGTTAAGTGCGTCCGTGATTGAATTTATTCGTTCCTGAATTTTTGTATTAATTTCTACCTGTATGTTTTCTGCTTCAGTTAACTGTCCTTGCTTGAATCTAAAATGTTGCCAATCGTCGAAGTCAGGTGTCCCTGCAAACACCTTTAGGGCGGGGCCTAGCAAATTTATGCTTCTGGCCTGTCTATGGTGAATCCTAAGCCCAATGTGTTTAGACGTCCGAGGTCGGCGTTAAGTTATTTGGTCATATGTTCTTTAGTGAATACGTCTAGTACGCGTTTCGTCCTGTCCGCGTAATCCTCGTAGGAGGACACGTTTGTAGTATGTCCTAAGTGTCCGAATCTGTCCCAAATCGCCACATCTCCGTCAACTATGGGTATGTGTCGTGTGTGTGAGTAGTCAGTATATTTAGTCGTGGCGGTCACGTAAGTCAGGGTGATCGTTATAAGTATTGTCCGAAATCCTAACCTAAAAAGTGTTAAAGTTTTTATTATTTTAAATGCTGAAAGTTTCTTAGAGATTCTATTGAGTCTAACGGAGGTTGTACTTATGGACCACCCTTCCCTTAATAAGGACCGTCGTCCCGAGGTCTGCCTCTACAGTTTCCTCAGAACATATGGGTGTTAGTTTATTACCCAGCCGTTTGTATTTGCATGCTCTAGGGTCTTACCTTGGGCCTCTTGGAGTCTCTCACTTATGTCCCTCTCCTCATTGGTGGGAGCTGAATGAATTACCTCAATAGGTATTTTATTTCTTACCGAGTGTATTGTACGATTGTACTTTTCTGAGGCCATAAGTATTAGTTCTACCGTGTCGTCGATTTGTTTATTGAGCTGTATATACCGAGCTATTTCGGTGAGGGTGCGATTTGCCCGTTTGACGAGCTGTGAAGTGAGGGTGCAGTTACAATGGGGATGTTAAAGTTGTTCAATAGAACGGACTTGATTGTCTCGGAGCTCAACAATTTGTCGTTACCGCAGTAAATTGTTGTAATTTTAGGGAAAAGGTTGACCAATTGCAAGATTGGAAATTTTATATCCACTATTTCTCGCGATTCTATTGGATGTACTATGGCGAGTTTCGAAAATTTATCAACACAGGTGAGGGTGGCGATTGTATTTTGACATCGAACAGGTTCTGCAATTTAGTGCTACTTCCGTTGCTAGTTTCCCATCCCATCTCTGGATACGATGAATCCCAAATATTCTACGCTTTTTTTAAAAAACTTGGACTTCTCCTGGAAGACCCACATACCTGCATCATGAAGGCTTTTAAGGACCCGATCGATGTCCTTAATATGGCCTTCTTTTGTTTCAGAGAAGATAATTACGTCGTCTACTTAAAAGTAGCACGACTGGCTTATCCTCTCTCTGAGGACATCGTCGATGGCCCTCTGGAAAATACTCGGGGCAAAACTTATATTTTCCGTTGTTGACGGAAAATGCCGTTTTCTCTCTGTCTTGTTCGGCGAGTTCGATCTGACGAAAGCCCGACTTCAAGTCCAGTATTATGAAATACTGAGCCTTGCCCATATTCGACAAGATTGTCGAAATTGTGAAATGGGGTATTTGTCATCGATCGTGTTTTGATTCAGTTTCCTGAAACCAATAACAAGTCTCTTTTTTCGTAGACCATTTTCGTCAATTCCCTTTTTGTCAACGACCCAAGTCGGGTTGTTGTAGGGAGACTTTGAGGGCCGAATAATGCCGTTAGCTAGAAGTTGTTTAACTTCTGCATTAAAAAAATTCGCGACGCCCATGGTTTGTTCTAATCGTTGCTTTGGTTGATGTTATATGGCAGAGGCTCGTTAGGGTCTGCAAATGCTTTTATGCTTTCTTTAATCATTTTTGTAAATGACTCGCGGACGGCTGTCGGAACATCGGCGTCGTCAATTTGAATAAAATTTACATTAGGATAGAACTTGCGAAAAGGATGGGTTCTGAGCCGTAGCTTGTTTTAATTTGATTATTAGTAAAGTCAATGGTGGCATTGACTTTTTTCAGGAGATCGAGGCTTATAATGCCGTCAAAATTTTTATGGGTATCTATTAAAAAAAATATGATTTTACTTGGAATGAGTAAATGAGACATTTCTGCCCAATCTTTGTGCTGCCATGTATGGATTTTACCTGGAAAGGGGTTTCAACTGGCACTAGGTGTCTTAGCTCGGGGAGTGGCTTGATGTTGTCTTTCGAAGCCCCTGTGTCCACGAGCAACCTGATTGTACGCCCTGCTACTACTCGCGTGACGAACGGTAGCAGGGAGCAACCCCTAAAAAATTGCAACTTTCGGCATCAGAGAGGTCACGGTCAACTTTTGTGGCAACGGCTTCGGTCGTTGACTCATATTCCGGGTCACTTGCAGGTTCCTGCGAGGTGTTGTTTATTTTCTGGCTTCGCTTAGAGTTGCCTGATTTACCCTGTTGGTAGCTGGTCGGTTGTTTATACCGAGATGACGAGTCTATTTCCATAGGCTCGGTTGCGGGCTGTCTTTGGGGGTTTGGGCTTTGAGGCTGTAAACGCTGTTTGTTACTGGCCGGATCTGCACCTGTTTGATTTTGGTCACCCCCCTGGATCTTGGTATAATGCGGATTCTTTAGCTGGCCCACTTGGGATGGATTATCGTTATGGTTCTGTTAGTGTTATTGCGCCAGTTCTGTTTCTTTTGATCAGATGGTTTTTGCGCTTTCTTCTCCATGTGTCTAGCGAAGCTTGCTGCGAACATACCGCGATCGTTGCTAGCCTCTGCTTCTTGAGCTAAGGCTAACGCCGAGGGCAGATCGCGAGGTTGCGCTGGGAATACAACGTTTCTCAGGGACTTTTTAAGCCCGGAGACAAACGTGTGAAGAGCGTATTCTCCGAATTTTTTGTTCAGCACAGCGGTGGACACAGCACCTCTGTCATGATTGTTTTGTTGTTAAGAAGCGTTAGCTTCCTTTGGATATTATCAAAATATTTAAGGAGGGGGAGTTCTCCTTGCCTTAAAAGTCCTAGCTCTTGAGTTATGACGTGACGTTGTCTGCATAGGTAAAATCTAGACGAGCTATTATTGCGGTGAAATTTAGCACTGTGTTGTACGATGCGCGCGTGGCATCTGCATCGCCTTTAATTTTATTCCTTATAATACCTACAGCTGGGTAATGTCTGCTGCTGCCCACATATGGCGCAAATATTTCATTTGCTGCATGGGCGGCGAGACGCCAAGAAACATACTTTTCTAGACTACCGTCAAAATCGGGCATTGATTTCCCCATGTCGAGAGCTTGTCACATCTGACGTCCCTGTTGACAGACACTGGCTGATATTTCGACCTAAAGGTCAGCTGTATTAAGCCTCTTTTTTCTGAGTATTCTTAATTTTTCTTCGAATTCATTTCTTTGTTGCAATAGGGCCACATTGAAAGCGGCCTCCATGCTTTTGATCTATTCGTCATTCATGTTTCTCTTAGTTGGGTTGGCACCAGTGTTGGTGACTTTGCTAACGCGGATCGAGTCTTGATCAGTTATCTGGTACATGTTCTTGCTAAAGCAAGGGGTGTTGTTTCTGCTATATTTCACAGTGTTGGTGTCATTGCTAACACGGTTCGAACTTGATCGGCTACTTGGTACGTGTTCTTGCTAAAGCAAAGGTTGTTGTTTCCGCTATATGCCCGGTTTGCAAATCCGCTATTTTCGTGGTTAAGGTCAATACTAGGTATGCTCTCTTGGCTAAGGCCTGCAACTGCGTTTCTGTAGTCCGTTATTGTCGGTCTGATCGGGCTCTTAACCGCGCTAGGTGTCTTAGCTACGGCGATTCTTTCTCTGTAGCTAGAAATTAAATCTTCGTCGCTACTCATTAATTTTTTTGTGTAGAAAATCAAAATGTGTCATATGTTCTATTTGGCAGGGAACAAGGTAACACTTATGTTCCTTTAGTTTGTTTTAATCAAAATTTTACAAGACTTTGCTTCTCAATTACATGTTTTTTCCTAGCCTGATTCACGGTCGCTGCATTTGATTCTGATTGATACCGGCGGAATTTGATTCTGTATTTGTTCGTATTTTTTATGTTTTTCGTTTTTATCACACGCGTCACTTTATTTGAATGATGCGGATATCGGCGCTGGAGCTCACTTATTAAAACTAAACTATAACATATCTTAGCCTATCCCTCGAAGCTCTGGATTGCCCCCAAAATTGCCGGCAGCTCGCTCAGTCAGCGTGTCGTGACCGTCCATCGCTGGTCACACAGCGCGCGCATGCGAGGGTATCGAGTATCGTTGCCCGTTCAAAAGCCAGAATTTGCTGACCGTTGCACCATGGGCATCCGGTACCGCGGCGAACTCAGCAACAACTTTGTTGCGCGTGTTAATTTATATAACTGTTGTCTTGACTGACAACTTTCCAGCTCCTTTAAAATAGAAATAGAGGTCAATTGTTTTACAGATTGGCTTCAAAACTATCTTCAAAAAACCTACAACTATGAACCTTCCGCTTGGCATCAAACTTATAACATGTATATAGTGACATATTCACATATTTAACACATACAATTAAAATTAATTTCAGAAGTATTTTCATAAACAATTAAAATTTCCATTTAATTCTTTCACGACGGACGGACAGAAAGACGGACATGGCTAGCTTTATGGGGTCGGAGATGCTTCCTTCTGCCTGTTACATACATTTGCACAATTACATTATACCTTTTTTACCCATTTCTAATGGGTTCAGGGTATAAACACCAATTTGTATTGCCCTCCAATTTAAGCCACAATTTTAATACAATTGTCTTTTTGAGAATACACGCATATTCTATAGTACAATAAGATCTACTTTTGAATTTCATCAAGATCGGTTAAGAAACAAAGAAGTTATTAAAGAAAATATGTTTTGGCTGCTCGCAACAGTGGTAAATTGGCGGAACATGGTTGTTTGAAAGTTTTTTGATTACCATCCGTTTGGCTACAAAAACATTTTCAATGATCTTTGTCAAAATTTATAGATGAGTATTTCGAAATGTTTGGGAAATCCATCCCTCTTTGGTGGAAATGGGGGTCAAAGATTTGGTGGGCGGCGTTTCGCCCTCAAGTTCATTTCCATGGATCTGAATAAAAATTCATTTGACATGTGTTTCACATTTTTGCAAATTCAAAGCTATATCGGTGGAAAGTGCAATTCAACGATTGTTTGGTGAAGTTTTAAGTTATGTCCGATTTGCTTATTTTCAAGCTCTACATAAGAACTTAATGAATACGTGTTTCAGCAATTTGGGAAATTCCACCAGCAACAAAGGTATATTAGAGGAAAACGTTTGTATGAAAGTTTGTATGTTTACCGTCCGATCAGTGTCAAAATCATTTTTAAAGCTTTTTGAGAAAATATATTTTATACATGCCACGGCAAGGCCGGGTTATACCCGCTAGTATATATATATATATATATATATATATATATATATATATATATATATATATATTATATATATATGTATATTTATATGGTAATATATATATAAACATGTACATATATATATTTTGACTTAAGATTCTCTTACATATCAATTAAAATGATAACCGTTATCATTGTTGATTCTCTCCTTTGGAATATGGGAGTGACAGTCCGAATGTACGGGGAGCGTCTTAAAGTTGTTGTCCCTGGAATATGTTTACTTTTAACATATTTCCTTACTTTGGGTTTTAATAAAATGCATCCGCTGCGTTTAAATTAGCATTCAGAATTTATCCTAATTTGCATAACGGGTACAATGTACCCTGTTAGTTCTACTGCAAAGTGAATATGTATATTATGTAACATAACATATGTTTGAGCCGCAGTGGAGGGAGTGATACATGAGCAGCAGTCGTGGGCAGCCGATCAGATCCGCATGTTTGCTAAGGCTGATTTCCGTTGCATTCAAATTAATATTAATAACAACATTATTTCCTATACGGTCCTAACCATATATTCTGAGCTTCTAGACAAATTGAATTATAACATCAATATTTAATTAAAACCCCGATTGTGGGGTGGCACCCTAGTTGCTGCCCCACAATATCTATATACAAACGACTAGATTAAAAAAAATCAGAATGGATTGAGAACATTTGGGATAGATTAAAGTACTTGATGATCTTTAGTCGACCATATTTTAAGCTTCAACTAAGAATTATTCATACTTAATTCAAATCCATTTCTAAAGGGGTTCCGATATATTAAAATATCCTAAAACGCTCTCGAATAAAGTACTATTTGATTGAATATAAGAGTAATTGAATTAGAAGAAAAGAATGTCGATGGATTTAAGTGTCCGATTCTTATACAGACAGTGACCAGGCATCTCCTAACTTGAAAGCAAAGACACTCATTAATCAACCCACAATACGTTGAAAATTAGCCAAACACCTTTTCAGTCAACAGCTCGGCTGTCGCGATAAAAGAGACCATGACCTGCGTATGCAATTCCTCAACGATTAAGGTTCCGAAGGGTGAAAATCCTAACCGACCCTTAGCCTGGTGAAACGAAAAGATTGCCAAAGCGTATAAATAGTGCCACGCTGAAAAACGTGCGATACAACGGTTAAGATCGTCGCCCAATTTTTAGTTACCAAAGAAGTTAACAGTCAACAATGAACTCTATAGAAATGCTGCATAGCTGAATGCCAACGAATCTATAGCCCCACGTGGCATCCCAAATAGCGGCCTCAAAGCTGTCACCGCTGGAAACCCTAGAAGATTGGTGGAGCTGTATAGGTCCATTTAATTTGGTTTTCATCGAATGTATCGTTTTTTAACGACTTTATTAAGACTGGACTCTAGGCAGGTGTTTCTATCACTTTTCCGCAGTTATAGAACTCAATTTTGGTCTCAATAATAGCTAAATCTCCGAGTCCGCTGCTTGAAATGCACATTGAACAATATAATCACACATTTTCTTTAATAACTCTTTGTTTTTTAACCGATAAAATCTTATTGACAATTTCAGCGTGAGATTTTATTGTGCCATAGGATATTCGTATATTCTCAAATAGACATTTTCATTAAAATTAATTTATTTATTTATTTTATTTATAGCTACAGACCAAAGGCGGGGTAGCGAGATATATAAAATGAAAGTTTTTTGATATTGATTTTTATCGATAGCTTTGAAATCGAGAAAGTTATTGATTATCGGAAACAAACTCGTACTGCGCGGAAACAAGGAAAACTTATGAAGACAATTTCAAGTTTCTAGCGCTTATAGGTTCTGGGATTGACGCAGTTTATAGCTTACTGTATCAATTTTTAAAGATTTAAATTTGACAATTAGGTATAAATATATTAATAACTAGAGCTTTGAAATACAATTAATTTTTTATTTATTAAGTAATGGCATTTCCAGTAACAAAATCCCCATGATGAAAGATTGACGATGTCGATTATACCAATAAGAAGAACACCTTTGATTCGGAAATTTCGACATAAAGCTGTCAACAATTTTGCAAAGACTGAAGCATTTCCAGTAACAAAATCCCCATGATGAAAGATTGACGATGTCGATTATACCAATAAGAAGAACACCTTTGATTCGGAAATTTCGACATAAAGCTGTCAACAATTTTGTAATTGAATGAAAAAAAAAATATACAAATAAGTACTTAATAGGAAGCGCTGTAGCGAAACAGTCAGTGACTTAATACCAGAAATTTTTTGGTCGAGTGCATGCTAAGATTGTGCGAGTTGCAGGTGCAAAGACTTCCACATATTCCAACTACTGTCAAAGATGTTGGTGCGCATTATAGTCACAAGCCCATACTTAAATATGGTGTAATTTAATGTCGCTTTAAGTTATTTCAGACATACACACATTCTGTATGTATATTGTAAAATAATTGAGTATGGCTTGTGCATGAAGAGAATGTGTTAAGGCATGTTTTATGTAGTGAGTTTGTTTATACTTAGGTATGCTAGTGTAGATGTAATAGCTTGTCGTTGTGCTACAATGATTTCCTTTTAGACTTAGTACTTTATGTGCGACAACCTGCTTACAAGAATACGAGTATATACCTAACAGCTGTATATGTTTTATATATGTATATGCATGTGTGCATGTACACATGCATAAACCGAATAATAGTCAGCACTTGCCTTACTATTTATATTTTTTACAAATTGCTGGAATCGTTAAGTAACGCACTAAACATATTCAGTTTCTTGCGCGCATATAAATATGAACGAAGACATATTAAAAATTACTAGTTTGAAATTTAAAGTCGCAGAGCTGAGGCCACACTTGCGGGCGGAAAACAACACACAAGGAAAACCTCACAATAAATTTCGGAATGGATACTAAAAAGTTATCCGTTCTGCACCTTAGTTGCATATTGTTTTTCCTAAGCATTGCAGAAGGGATTCCAAAATTTGAAAGCAAACCAAAGTGAGTTTGCTAAATAGATATACTCAAATACATATATGTATATGTCGCTGGTATTGCCCAACTTTTTAATGATCAGAAGTTTCATTTAAGTTCGCAAATGGTCGTCACAGTGTAATTACCGATTAAATCAAATGAAAAGAATCTTCTGATTATTTGGTTGTGACTTCAAGACTGTAACCCTTTAAAACTTTACTTCAAACTGTGACTAAAAATTTATCTACGCTTTATGTCGGCGATGATACTATTTGTCCGCACTTTGCTTGTCTCTTAGTGGTCATGTCAAAAAAATTAACTGTATGACGCGGATATACCAAATGATTTTGCGCAAGTGGAGGCTGGTCTCGAAAACTACAAACTTGAAATTAGAAATATATATTTTAGCATATGTTAATCTTGTTTTTCGATATTTCCATTATTTTCATGATATTATATCAATAAAAAATCCATTTTGAGATTTTATTTTTTAAGCATAATTCAAAAATTACCAAAGCCAGATACTCCAAACTTGGTATATATTTTTTCTTATATAGTATACAAAGAATAAGAAGATTTCACTTCTTAGATACATAGCCCAACCCCCAAAAATTGGAAAATCGCATTTTGAAGGTAGAGTAATGCCCTTCATTTATTTACACACATTTAAGTGCCACATTTATGCCTTGGGCTAGGGGAAAAGTATATAGCGGCGTGTGTGAAGTTTAAATTGTATATATGTATATGTTTAGAAGGAAGTTAAAATGTTTTTAATGGCAACTCGATACACGCTTTTTAACCTAAAAAGGATGTCAAGTTTTTGGTGTAATGTAATATTGATTTTCAGAACTTACACAGAAAATACGCAATGGAGTCGAACATATGAGAATGAAAACAAAACTCGGCTGAATGAGCCGGAAACTGCGTCAACAAAAGATAGACTGGAACGGCTTGGCTACACGACTGGTTATGGAAGCTTAAATGTATGTCTTTAAAATTAGAGTCTTTAATACAAATTTGTTATATTTCATATACATTTCTTTATGGTGAACATACTTAATTAAATATAGGGGTACCCTAGTAGCTCAGGACTTTCTGCGTATAATCCCATTAAACTGGATCTAGGTGGGGTTGTGCTTGGCACCCTTGTAGGTATTGGTGCAATAATTCTCATACCAAAAATATTGTCAGCATTTCATGGTGGTTACGGTGGCTATGGACGTAGTAAGTAGAAAATTTACACTTCAATCGTGTTAGTCATTCACAATACTGACAATACTATGCATACGTATGTAGGTGAGGACGAAAATGACTTGGATTCATTAAGCAGTATGATAAGCAAAATTGAAAATGTGCTTGGCCAAAATAACATTGATTCAACAAGCTGCATGCAACGCGCGGTCTGTGGCTATGTGCGGTCTACGGAAAAGAATATAAAGTCTGGAGTATCCGACCAAGTGGATGAATTTATTCACATGCTTTCCAGGTAAGTTAAAAAATGCTAAACGTAAGTATTTGTCTTTTTGTTTGCGTACTGAATTAGTGAAACCTTTTAATAAAAAAATATATTTATAATATTGTGAGTGCAATTTGTTACCCCTGAAAAGGATAGAAAATATTTCTACAAATGTATGTAACAGGCAGAAGGAGGCATTCCGATCACACAAGGTACATATATTCTTGAACAGCAGCAACAGCCGAGTCGATCTAGCCAAACCCGCCTGTCTGTTCGTCCGTCCGTATGTATGATCGCAAGGAGCTCAGAACCTAAGAGCTAAAGACTTGAAATGATTAGAACGAGTTTGTTTCCGATATCCGATAACTCGTCCAATTTCTAAGCAATCGATAAAAATCGTTATCGAAATCCTGGTTTTTGAGCAAATTTCTTTTGTTTCAAGAGCTAGAGTTATCAAATTTGACATGTAGTTTCTAAAATAGTATATACATATCAGGTACCTTTCATTTTATAGCTATTTGAATTCGCTTTTTCTCGTCGAAAATGAATTGTTGTTATGGCTATCGAGTGGAGGTGGTGGCAAGTATTGCGGTCGGTACGGGTTTGAATCCAATTGGATCGAACTTATTTTTTTTTCAATTTTTTTATTACTCACCTTTCCTCCAACCTGTGTTGCTAGAATCCAAAGTTAAATTGGTAAAAGTTCACTTTTCGTCCTCATCGGGGAACCAAAACAATAATATCAATGTAAATTGTTAAATAGGATTTTCCTTACTCACTGCCCCTTTTGACGATGGGGGACAATTTTATTTTCACCTGGACATAACCGGGTAACATCAGATGTTGCTTATATATATTTCCAATGTTGGGAACCATTATGTTAACATATTGACTAATTTTTAATTCTGTTTTATTTATAGAAATTCGCTTGTAGACTACCTTTTGGACGGAACTGCAATAAAAGAAGCTTTGGAACATGGAAAGGAAACAAACGAAAAGGCCTGCGAAGAGCTTTACCTATCGTGCCCGTTAGATAGTAAATCGGCCACCAGCATTCTAATGAAATTACTGCCCAAGAAACACAAACTTGCAAAGTTACAATCTACAGAAATTGATACTGAACAAAAAGCATAAAATTTGTTAGAGGAACATAAATTATATATTATATAAAAGATACAATTTTGACTTGGAAAGGGGAAATTAAAGATATTTATATCAAAAATTAAAATATTGAGCTTTTGAATTTAAATTACTATGTAGAAAATTTCCTATTGCGAGTAGCAGCACCAGCTCTATTCTTTAAAATTTGAATGAGAATTATTCTCACTTTTGAAATACTCAGCTTTTTGTACCCTGTACCTATAAAAATGATATATTCTTGTTCAGCAATAGCAGCCTTTAGAGTCACCGAGTTGCCCGAAACTCCATTCGTCTATCTTTTTTGTATTAACGCGTTGATCTCACAGATTTTAAGAGCTAAAGATTCTAAGATAGGGATATTAATTATTTTTCCCCGGTCGGAGATCAAGAATTTAAACAATTTTTAATAAATAATAAAACGATAAACGTCGATTTGCAATCCCTGTTTTTTTACTTATTATCTTATCTTGAAAATAAACAGAGTTAGGCGCTAAATTTAGTGTGCATGTCTCCATTGAAGTTTGTCGGAAGTACCCAACTAGGATATATGCTGAACCCAGCGCACAGCTGAGAATCATTCCACAATTATTATCAAAGAGACAGCATACATCTATGAGACCAAAAATTAAAAAATGTTTATCTTTATAATCTGCAAGAAGAATAAATATGCACGACACCAAAACATTATTAAGCTAAGAGAAACCTCCATACCAAAAGATCCAGGTCAAGTATTTCACAAAGACCCAATAAAGTTTATTAATTTTAGATCAGCATCAATATCAGAGGTGATCTTATAATGTTCGTTAAAGCTATAGACATGAAGCTTTAAACGTAAGTCCTCCTTGCCCCGTTTCCGAGCAATCGATATCAATATCAAAATCCTGTTTTTGAGCAAATCTCTTAGGTTTAAAGAGCTAAAGTCAAAACGTAGCTTCTAGAATAGTATTTACAGATTGTGACTACGCTAGGCGAATTTCGCCTAACACTCGTGTTGTGCATTGGGAGCGTCCGCCGTCTACGAGTTCCGGCCGTGCTCAGGGTAAGTGGAGTGGATTCTTTTGGTCCTTAATACACTCGACGCGTTAAATATAGTGAAAAAAAAAACAAGTAAGAGGATCTAGTCGAGAGCTCCCGACTAGGGAATACCCTGAACCCTCTTCTACCAACACCAAATGCACCAGGCGCTACGCGGTCGTTTGCTTCAGTAGTAATAAAAATAAATTTAAAACAATAAAGAGGTTCTAGTCGGGAGCTCCCGCCTGGGGATACCCTGAACCCTCTTCTTCCGACAGGCGATAGGTAGAAAATGAAAGATACTTGATATATATATACTATTCTAAAAGCTACATGTCATATTTGGTGACTCTAGCTCTTATTATTTACCAAAATTGCTCAAAAAACAGGATTTCGATGGAAACGGGGCAAGCTATCAACTATCGGAAACAAACTCGATCTGCGCGGGGACTAGGAGGACCTACAGCTACAATTTCAAGTCTCTAGCTCTTATAGGTTCCGAAATCCTTGCGGATTGACGGACGGACGGACAGACAGACGGACATGACCAGATCGACTTGGCTATTGATGCTGATGAAGAATATATATACTTTATGTGGTCTGAGATGCTTCCTTCTGCCTGTTACATACATTTGCAAAAATACATTATACTCTTTTTACCCATTTTCAATGGGTGCAGGGTATAACAAGTAAGAGGCTCGCAACAGAATGCACTACATGCCGCCGCCTCTACTCAACAGCGGCATTCTCGTATATCCGGTGCAACTCCGGAGCCGGCTCATATCTGGCGTGATGCATTAGAGCCCTCAGCTCTATCAGGTATACCTTGAACTCCTCCCCCACGCGCTGTCGGCGGGACCGAATTTCGTCCTCAAGCCTTTTAAAAATAGAGCGGTGGCAGAAAGAACTCCAAGAAACCACTCCTTAACATTGACCATGGCACATCCCTCAGCCCACTACTCAAGAACCAACGAGCGAGGGCAATGCCATATGTGATGGACCGCTCCCCGTGATACTCCAGGAATCCAAGGGGGTAGGATCGACCGTCATACCTCATACTCCACGTCCGGACTTGTTCCGGAAAGTTTGAAAGTGGCTTAGCCTCCGACTGAGGATACGGCATGGAATCAGCAGGGGTCTGCCCTATCTCGGCGTCAATCGCTGTTGCTCGGCGGGCTCCATCCCTTCGGATGTCATGAGCCTCCCCTACACCCGTAATGGCTAAGCTAGGGCCGGAATCTGTGGACGCTCGTTGTGAGCTCCACAGGTCGGGCTCCGACTTTTGACGTGGCCGTCCGCCAACGTCGGGTGAAAGGCTCTAATGTTTTGGCATACTGAGACTCTAGCTCGGCAAGCCGAGCCCAAATTTCAGAGGAATGGTCGCCATCCTGCATATAAGTGGATAACCGCTTACGCAACTCCTCCACGCGCCCTTCCTTCTCCAGCCCGAACTCATGGGCAATCGCCACTAGCTTCTTCTTGCGCCGCTGGTGGATCCAGCAAAAGACAATATAATATAATATAAACACTAAGATGAATAACGCCATACAAAACAATGCTGTTATGCAGCTTGATTTTTGAAAATTGAGAACGAAAACGAAATTAGTATCATTGCGCTCTCACAGCCGATAGAGCGAAAAGCTAAAAATAGAATGTTCTCTCAGCTTCGCATCTATGCATAGAGTAATAAACAGATACAGAGCTGAAAACTGACTCCCAGCTTTTATTATTGTTTTAATTCTGAAGCAAGGTGAATAAGGTTGGTCCCCAAATGCAAAATCAAACTCAAGAAATTAAGCTCATTTACCATAGGAAGCAACAACAAATCAGATGTAAAACAACAACAGTGCCCATGAAACCCCATTTTTTTTCATCTTCCGTTTTAATCGCTGAAATTCTGAAGCAAGATTATGAGGACATAGGAATCTCAGTGCAAAGAAAAGGGACAAATAATGCCACTATGCTTTTTGCAGGTTACTCTGTCGTTCCTACAAGGCAGCGCGTAGAAACAACAACAACACTATTTGGGTTCTAATGTTGTTGCTGCAGAGCCGAGTCGCAAGTACATATGTAGGTAGAAAATTTGAATGCCAGCAGGCAATGGCATTCAAATCAAAGGTTACGCACACGGCGCGTCAACATCATATACTATGACGTCACATCTTATAAAATTTCATTTCTTGTGTTGCTTAGAATATATTTCTATCTTTATAACGCACATTTAAATAATAAATTAATGGTGTCTTTTATAATAATGAATTAATTTAAAAGTGTATTAATTTACTGTACAATATGTGTGTGATGAGACACACATGCCAACAACTATTTGGCGCGTCGAGGCATTGATACCCTTATACCACTAACCAAATAACATATAGACCGGACAAACCCTACTTTTGATGGTGACATTCGATATTTCTGCGGCTGGTCCAAACTCGCCTTCGTTTTTGTTCGGGTTCGAGACATGCTCGCATGCTCTCAGAAGCAAGAGAGTAAGAATACATATGGCCTGTGTCGGGGAACGGCAACGCTGTCTTTTTACTCGCTCACTCTACTAGAAACTGCTGTGGCTTACTCTCATCCATATGATTTGTGCGATAGAACGGCATCGCTGTTTTTTATCTCGCTCCCACTACAGGAAACTGCTTTGGCTTACTCTCAATGCTCTTTCAATTTGTCTATGTACCGTTTAAGTGTTTGTGTGTGTATGTGTCCGCACAAGCAAAAATGCCCACAAATTCAATTTTTCTCAAAAGTCGGTGGCATATCTTCCCTTTTGAGGGGACGAGTAATATAAAATAATGAAAGGGTTTGCCCCGTCGATGCGAAATTCTTTCATTTTAGCTCGTTCTTCTTCGAAAGGGTACCTAAGCGTTGGCATGTGTGCATTTAAAAGTTTTTGGACTTGCTATTCACGCATACTTGCGTATTTTGTATATGAATAGAAGCATTTATGCGCTTGTGTGCCTGTTGGTCCCTGCCTGCCTGTCCGATGCAAATTTGGCAATATTTTTGGACATCTGAATTTCGAGCTCTGCGCACACACACACAGAGACACAAATGTGTGTGAATGGGCTGATCATGGGCGCAAAATTTAAAAATATCATTATCACGCGTCTGACGCGCGCCCTTCTTTTTATGATTTAGGGCTTGAATTGATGAATGAATGTTGACCCCTTATTACCTGCAGATCCAATTCATATATGAAAAAGCTAAATATTTTAAGACAATAAAATTATTAATACTATAAATATATAATTGCTCCTTTTTTGTATTTGGTATATTTGAATATTTTAAAGAGTTTATTTTTTACACAAATTTCCTAAAATTATTTAAGTGATCAGTCACTTGACCTACATATGCAGGTGCAGGTGTTTGCCAAAAGTTGACCCTTTCGGCCCAACGGGCTGCTGCAGGTAATAAGGGGTCAACATTCATTCATCAATTCAAGCCCTAAATCATAAAAAGAAGGGCGCGCGTCAGACGCGTGATAATGATATTTTTAAATTTTGCGCCCATGATCAGCCCATTCACACACATTTGTGTCTCTGTGTGTGTGTGCGCAGAGCTCGAAATTCAGATGTCCAAAAATATTGCCAAATTTGCATCGGACAGGCAGGCAGGGACCAACAGGCACACAAGCGCATAAATGCTTCTATTCATATACAAAATACGCAAGTATGCGTGAATAGCAAGTCCAAAAACTTTTAAATGCACACATGCCAACGCTTAGGTACCCTTTCGAAGAAGAACGAGCTAAAATGAAAGAATTTCGCATCGACGGGGCAAACCCTTTCATTATTTTATATTACTCGTCCCCTCAAAAGGGAAGATATGCCACCGACTTTTGAGAAAAATTGAATTTGTGGGCATTTTTGCTTGTGCGGACACATACACACACAAACACTTAAACGGTACATAGACAAATTGAAAGAGCATTGAGAGTAAGCCAAAGCAGTTTCCTGTAGTGGGAGCGAGATAAAAAACAGCGATGCCGTTCTATCGCACAAATCATATGGATGAGAGTAAGCCACAGCAGTTTCTTGTAGAGTGAGCGAGTAAAAAGACAGCGTTGCCGTTCCCCGACACAGGCCATATGTATTCTTACTCTCTTGCTTCTGAGAGCATGCGAGCATGTCTCGAACCCGAACAAAAACGAAGGCGAGTTTGGACCAGCCGCAGAAATATCGAATGTCACCATCAAAAGTAGGGTTTGTCCGGTCTATATGTTATTTGGTTAGTGCTTATACATAGAAATGTTATAGAATGTTTAAAGAAAACAATTATTATCGATTGCACTA